CTTCTCCCCCCCCACCCCCCTCCACTTTATTGTTGCTCTCACTCACATGGAAATAATATAGCCGTAGGAGTCACAAAACACGCCATACACTGCACCGCAGTCCCCGCCTTTGTCCCACCCAGTCAGAGAAATCAATGGCCACTGGTTCTGACACTCTGCCAGCACCGCCGCTGCGCAAGGGAGGGGAGCGACAAAGGGGGGTCATTCTTTTTAGAGGCGTCTCAGAAGAATGGCCCAGCCGTGCAGCAGCAATGCTACCGCCCACTGCTGCAGCCACTCTGCCAGTGTCGCCACCGCGGAGGGGAGAAAAGGGGGAAAGGGGGCAGAAGGGCAGCAGACAGTGGGCAGGGAGGGCGGAGGGTGAGGAATGGACGGGTGCAAGCAAAAGCCTTTCGAGAAATTTCCAAAGCCAATCCAGTCCAGTGTACGCAAGGGGGTGTGGGGGGGAGGAGGGGGGAGGGTGAAGAGGGAGGACGCAGGGAACGGGCTGGAGGTAGCACAGACAGCGGGGACACGGTGGTGGGGGGATTTTGGGGGAGGGGAAGATGCGTTGATGTGAGAGTGGAAGGGAGGAGTGGTGCGATGTTGGATGTGAGTTGAGTGTGGGTGTACGGTACCTACCAGGTGTGAAAAAAGGGCTCCGTGAACGGAGAGCACAGGAAGAGGCGGGCGGGCGGGTGGGTGTCTAACGCGGGTGGGTGTATAACGCCTCGCTACCCACTGGGTCAAATCGAGGGCTATATTTGAGGTGCAGAGTAGGCATTCAACCCTTACGTGTAAGCCCCATGGACGTTACACTCGTCACCTCACCCCCTGCAGCCAACGTCCTCGTTGGGCAGGAAGTCTGCCCTCAGCTTCGCTCTTTAGCGACTTGACTGGTGGGCCAGGCCAGCGGTGGATCGTTCACTGGATTTACGGCTGGGTTACAATATTGAATTTTCAACTGCGCGATCACAGCAGGAAATGTGACCCAGCCGGGAATCGAACCCTAGACTCTGAGACCAATTTAACGCCTCGCTATCACTGAGTCAAAACAAGAGTAATATCTTAGGCGCAGCGGAGGCACTCAACCCTTAGATGTAAGCCCCACAGGCATTACAGGGTGGGTGGGTGGGTGGCTGGCTGGAAGGGTTTAAAGAAGGGACAGGGACAGGCATGCAAGCTGAAAGTAAAAAAAGTGGTTAGACGGGGAGGGTGGGGTGGGAGGAGGGGGGGAAAAGGGGAGACGGATATGTGTGCTAGACGGACATGGGTGCTAGACGGATATGCGTGCGACGTGAATACGCGTGCGAGGCGATTGACGGCCGGGATGACCGACCTTGCGACGGGTTGAGAGTCTGAGTGTAAGCGGCCGCAGTAGTCGTTAAAATGCTACTCGCCATCGCGAGCACGAGCATCGCGACGACGACCACGGCGACGCGATGCGACTCCGCCATTCGTGTGCGATTGCTGATTGAGCAAGGCGAACGGGGACGGTGCTCTCTAGAAGATGGCGTTTCAAGGTCGTTTTAGCGAGGGAACGGAAAGTTGGGACCTCACGATGTGGAATTGGGACACACTAAAAAATAAGAACCCGGTTAGCCTTGTGCCTAGTACATTCACACGAAAGTAGGAAACACAGGCCATAAGCCTATCACCAAACCTCCGCCTCATGCGCGGGTATTCGTCTCATTGATTGGCTTCAAGTCCCTAGTATTTGTGGTACAACACCGTAAGGGCGCATCATTTTCATTTCATTTTGGCTCAATACCCATCCCAACCAATGTGAACGTTGATTAGACTGTTCTAGAACGTGAAACATCTCATGGAGCCGCATTCAAACGAACGAAAAGGACCCGCCCTAACAATATGATAGTTGTGGCATTGCAGAGACACCTCAGTCACGCACATGGTGATCAAGCGCGTGAAGTGATCCTCGATATAAAGATCACCTCAAAACCTTGTACAACGATCGATTCTTTCCCATACACATACCTATATCAGATGAATGTGTACCGCGAAACCCCGTCCCCCAATATTGCACCCCAGCACTGCGTTTTGTGCCACCCCGACCGAGACAGGGCTTTCCCTACGGGGGGGTTCACAAAGAGTCAGAATGTCTGACACTCGTGAAAACTTGACTGATGCCCCAGCCGACGCAGAAACAAATGTATTGCTAACGAGGTGGACTCAGTTGCGTTATCTCTCCACACTCAGGTGCGCATTGCGAGTGCAGTGTGAATCCGCAGAAGTCGGCATTAGAAGTGAACATTGTTTTTTTTTTGTGGGGCTATTTAGGGGAAATAGGCTTACTGGATATAAGCAGCCTGGGTTTCCAAACTTGCGCGCTGCTGTGACGCGTCCCAAACCAAGCTGGGAGCATGCTCGCGGGTTTGACAAACTGCATTATTTGTGGTTTGGTATGGAAATCCCCCCCCAGCACGAACCCCATCACCGACCTATCGGACGGCAACGCCTTGGTTCGGGGAAGCTGCGGTATTCCTTTCCCCCCTGTCATGAT